ATCCGGTTTGGACATGATGACACTACAGGACGCTTATTCAACGAGCAGCACATCTCAAGGTCAACTTTCGAAGATCAACTTGTCTTTCTCGGGCTATGTTTTCAGTTTTTCCAGTATTGGAGATATTGCGTGAGTAGTTTGTAGCCTAATAATTTAGCAATTTATTTAGGTTAGAATATTTTCAATAATTTGCTTATTTACTGTGCACTGAATGAAAAAAGAATAGAAATTTAGAATACGTGTGCTCAACTTGATAGAAACTTTCATTGAACAGGAATCATCTGTTAAAAAGGATAAGCTCCCATGCTGCTTTGCCCAAAGTATTTTCTAAATCAGAGCTGTAACTTTTGAACTACTGTAAATTTTAAAGCTACACTCAAGGTCGGCGCACATTCAAATGGTGATAACAATGAACAAAGAACACAGATGTTGTAGATAAAGTCGGGAATAAATTTAGTTTACTCATAGCCATCTATATATAACTATGATATTGCAAGCTGAAATGGATTTTCAAAATGAGGGTGATGTTGCACGAGTTTGGTCAACACCTGTTTAGTGATGTGATTTAAGTAATCGAATTCTATTCCAATTGAGCAACGTTTGCTCAAGTGCCATGTGCATTAATTGCTGCCACGTTGCTGGAGAGACGCTGATATTCCAAATGGTAAAAATTGACATGTAAGCTTTCTGTTATTCAATAACTTATGGATATCAGACAATTTGTGTTTGTGTTTACCCCATAAAGTGGAGTTTAACTGAAATGTGATATGGACAGAAAACATATTCGCGAAAAGTTCTCACTTTGTTTTTAAACACAAACAAAACACCAGAATAATTTGAACAAGCCCTCGCCTCCATAGCGCAGCAAATGCACCATGCACCCGGAGTCGTAGAGTGATTCCACTTCACGTTTTTCCCCTCAAGACACACAAACGGTGGCTACATTGCTTTAACTGGAGTGTAATCTCGAAGACTGGGGTAGAGGAGCATGCGCGCAGTAGTGAGAGGGAGGGGGGGGAGGGNGGGCACACTGGGACTGGGAGCAATTGAAGGAACTGACGAATTATACGGAGAGCCCGCACCGACCGGCACATCTAATTGAGCGAAAGAATCCACTTGATCACCAGTGAAGTGTGATGTGGAAAACGATGCAAAGTTCACACACTTGAAGTTGCCTACCGAGTCAATTCGAGAGGGTACATTGCAAGTTGGCTAACTGTCACAGTTGAACAGATTCCCGTCATACACTGGCAACATTTCAGTTAGCACTATATTGAAACAGGTATGAGTTATTGTTGCCTTTTGCTGTCCGTTATGATTTACTCATTTTTACTGGACATAATCATTCACCATTGTTGAGAATAAAATAAAATAAAATAATTAAAAATAATAAATATAAGGCAATTAGAAGGTTCTGTTGCCGTTCATACGAACTTCCACGATCAAGTATAAACAAAATCTTATCAATCCTCTCCACACTGCAGGTAAAATACATTTGAACAGGCAAGTCAGAAGACAAACACTGCGAGAGGAATTCCTTTTGTATACTCTATCATCGGTCGCGTACGTTGAACAAGATAGACAAATGAAGCGAATTCAGAAATCTAGTTAGTATTCCCCATGCGTGTGTGTGTGTGTGTGTGTGTGATTCTGTACAGTATGTGTGATGCACGTGATTGGTTACTGCCAGGGAAGGCCAAGGGTAAAGGTCATACGGTTTTGGATGCACAGAGTGGGTTTGGTGTGAGCGATCGATAATGCCTTGAGTATCCTTACTCGGTGTTTGTTTCGATGACGTAACAAAACCGAGAACGCGTTCGCAAAGTCTACCCTATGGCCGCTTTTAACCAAGTGACATGCGATGGCCGAAGCCAGTTTGCGTGATGCGGTTAGAGGCTGTGGTGGTGTGGGCTGAGTCATATAATCACGCACATACTTGGGGATGTGCTCAGCCATTCTAGGCCGCAGTGATCGGTCGGTTCTACCAATGTATGCCTCGTTGCGACTGCAACAAAACGCAAAAATGCAATGAGAGGTAGGCTCGATCGGACGGCGATCTTTGAATGGGGGGAGAGGGAGGCGCTGTGTGATCGGATGGAGTCTCCATGTGGCAGCGTAGTAGGTTCTTTATAACGCGTTTTTTATACGCTGTGTGTTAAGCTGCATTATTGACTCCCCTTTGTATGGCAGCGAGATGTGGATATTCTTTTTTGGCACTCGATGGGTAGTGGCTTGATTCCGGGTTCCCTGTCCGACTGTGAAAACGAACGAAACAGTCCGGATAACCATTTACCCGTATTGAGCTATAGATATTCTCCTGTTCACTTAGTATTGTGTTCTCTGTACATATTTTTCTCGCCCTGTGGAACAATGTTCGAACCAGGGCTCTCTTATGTTCCTTTGGTGAGAAACTGTTGAAGTGAAGGTACTGCCCGGACCAAGTCTTCTTGCGGAAGATAGATCGTTGGATAGAACCGTCACTTTTACGGGTTATCAGGACATCAAGGAAAGCTAACGAGTTTGCCTTCTCCACTTCACAGGTGAAGTTCAAGTTGGGTTTTGCTGCGTTGAATTCATCCATTCAGCGATACAGCCATATCGTCAGGGTGATTGAAGATGACGAGCACGTCATCCACGTATCCTTTGTAGAAAGATGTTCCCTTGATTGCCTCGTCCAGCTGTGCTTCGATCATACCCATGAAAATTTCAGCCAGGATAGGACCAAGGGGGCTATCCATCGCCACGCCGTCTGTCTGTCGA